AGCAGACAATTTTCCACCTACCTTGGTAATGTCTTCCTCCTTTTTGACCAATTGACGTTTTAACATATCCCGTTCGTCCTTCAAACAGTCACTTTCTTCTCGTAATGTGTTCATTTTGCTCTTTAGAGCTGCCAAAATACCCCCCGAATTTTGCTGCATTTGGATTTGACTCATTTTGCCTGATGTCCAACTTCAACTTCTATGCTTCCGAATAGACAATCAACTCCTAGCCGGGCAGACCGAACCACCACTATGCCTATAACCCTGCACTACAAATGTAGTCCCTTCTGGTGAAGTGGTTCCGATCTGTTGGGTCAATATGTCGGTCTCGTATAACTGTGGATCGTATAGTCTTCCACTTGCTGAAACGTCCAAACTGAATGACTACGACAAATATTTCATCCAATTTCAATCGTGTCACAATCGCTCCGGAAAAGCGATATGGTCTGCGTTAGGTGTATTCTGTCACGTGACAGGGGACACCTGGCTGTTCCATTGAAATGTGTCACTCCCTCTACAAACTTTACTTCCATTTAAGGCAATAGCAAAGTTCATAATGGGAATCCCGCCCTACGACGAAGAGACGTGCGTGTAAATGTCACAGACAGTAGTGTCAGCAACACATCTTGGAATGAATGATAACTTGTTGGAAATTGCTGACATTTAATCGAGATATGGCGTGAATTTAGCGACCAATAATATACCTATAAATGTAAGTACTACAACCTTTATCCAATTGTCCATTCATAATAACACGTACTGAGCTGTTGTAATAACAATTCAATATCGGTTTGGAAAATAATGCATTCATGAAGTAGGAGGTCGAATTAATAACTTATCTTGCGATGATCATGTAGATGTTGCTATCTTTGGCCGTAGCGAGATTTCCAATAAAACCCAACAGAACATTCACGAGGAAAGGCGTTACCGAACTAAATGAGTATATAGGGCTATGTCTATGTCCATTGCAGTTTCAGCTTGTCGCATCACTTTCATAAAAATATATTGTTGCCAAATTAAATAAAGGAAGTGAAAGTCTTATCTACATTCTGAAGAGAGGATGTGTCAATGCATTCCGTAGCGAAGTATTACTTCAAAACAATGTAAAAATGTACTTTTATAGACTTTAATGGCCTAATGACTTGTATCCCGAGAGTGATGTAGCTTAGAGAAAGCTAGTAACAGACTCATAATTTGAGGACTGCTAGTTTTCAGTAGAGAAGCGTATAAGTACATGCAGGCCCCGTTGTTGAATTTGTAAACATCAAATACGGGCATGTGTTCGAGTTATCTCCCTTAATCAAAAACCCGACCTGCGATGTGCCTTCCCTTCAAAGGGAAATGACGACTTTTTAGGGCTGTGAATTTAAGTCGTTTTTAATAATTCACCCGGTGATGCGACAAGAACTAGCTCGTTACCAGCATTGAAGAGGTCATCCATAAATGTTTCTTGTAATTAAGAGGGAAATCGGATATAGAACAAACACGTTTTACGATTTTCAGCGGCATCTTCCCATAAGACAGACCTCCCAAAAGACAGACCGCTTAAAACAACACATTTTATGGTTGGTTGCATAAGCTGTACCCTTGCTAATAATAACATGTACGGTGTGTTAATACCATAACATTAGGTATTAACAATAGTTTTATCAATTCATGTAATGAATTATGATGTTTAAATGAAAACATATTGCATCAACATATATGTACATCAACATATATTTGCCAGATCACATTTACTTGTGAATATTATCAAAAACAACAATTTGTATACATGTACCTATCAAACATATTAGACCAAGCACCATCATATTTTAAATCACATGTTTGTCAGTGCACAGATATCACTTATTAGAAAGTCACTTGAACATCATAATTTTCTCCTTTCATCTTTATGAACATGATGTAACTGGCCTCGAACATGTAATTAAGCTTACTGAGGACCAGCTTGGTATCTTTATGAAATTGTTCATATTACTTTATGCTGACGATACTGTGATATTAGCTGAAACAAGTGATGGATTGCAAAAATCTTTGAATGTGTTTGACCTGTATTGTAAAGAATGGAAACATAGTGTGAATTTAGATGTCTGTGATGAACTTCACTGTTTATTATACTGTCCACCACTAAATGCTCTCAGAAATAAATTTCTTCCCCAATATTTCTGTAAACATCCTACTATTGAAAAAAAATTGTTTATCTAATGAAATGTGATTATTCACCACTTAACTCTAAAGTTGCCAAATTTATCAAAACTGGACATTGTTCAATGTTTTAATATGTATCAATATGCTGTATGTTATTGTGTCACTATAATGTGATTGTTTAGAATAAGATTTTGGTTCTATTCTGTTCAGTAAAAGGATCAGCTCCTTAATTAAATAAGGGTGGACAGCATGGCTCAGCTAATTAGTGTACTCATTGAGTCTGTCTTATGGGTGGTCTGTCTTTTGGGAAGACTTGTCTTTTTGGGAGCAATACAGTATTGGATATGATGCTTATTCTGAAACACCAACTCTTAGTTTACTTGGCGTACGTGTAACGATTGAGCGTGTAGGGCTGTCAACAAGGGGAACCGAGGTAGCCTGACGGCTAGAGCTCTGTCTCGCCACACGGGCACAAATATTCTTCCGTCACCTTCCATGATTTATGGTTAAGATATTATCGGAAAATATGTTTGCATTGAAACATTTCAAATCACAACAATACTTATTTCGTATAGTTTCGATGTTTACACGCATCACAACGTAAAGTTGAAGCTAAGATAAAAAAAGGTGGTACCAATAACTTTATATTTTCAGTGCAATCCTGAAGGAAGGCCAGTAACATGGTTTGTTGTGCGTGTTCTTCTCTACTAAACCCTCGTGAATAGTTGATACAACCATTATAGACATGTATTGGAAAGAATGATATCGTAGACAGTTGGGTCACTTTTTAAACTGAAACTGGTTTGACCACCTAACCCCAAGGTATGCAGTCAAATCGCCGCATGGGTGCTGCAATTGCTTTTACATCAAGTAATCCACCTCGCCTGTATCAAACCACTCATGTGATACGAATTATTTGACAATAACATGGGCACAGACGAAAAGCTATGTCACACGGACCCAGAACTATTATTGCACCAACTAGAAGTGTATCTAGCTATGGATTCTTACTATTCTACTAACTCATCTCAACTTTTCTAATCAATTAAGTAAAGTAATTTATGATGTATAGTTTCAAGTATGACAACGCTCAATTTAAGCATTTAGAACTTGCACAGGTGCCACCTGAAACTGCAAAACACAACCTCATATTTATACCAACGTGCACACTCAGTGCAAGATAATAATTTGCTGTTCAAAGAACACAGACTTCAGCGAGAAAGCAGAATCCGCGGGAAAATGAAATGGCGAGGAACAGGCTTAGAATATTGGCTCTGATGACTACACAGACAGTGATTGAATATCAGTTTCTGTTCATGTCAAGATATTTTAGTAAGTAAACTGTAATATAAAACGTTCTTATCAGACCCAGACAGAAATGTGTTGCTATAATGACGTTCCGAACCATCCATGCCAAACTAGAAGCATTATTCACAATTGAGCAGCAGTTGCAACCTGTTTTGGTATAGTGCAACAAGTTTATGACCAAAGGTTGCACCGAGTGCAAGTAGGCTTCATGTCCCCAAATCGAATGCTACAGTTTGTGTTTTGTTGTCACATATGATCACGTGAGCAAATGTGGTAAGCAAGTCAGTTTATACCTGTATCCTTAAAAACAAAGAAAACAAAACAACCCATCCCCCTTCCCCCAAAAAACAAAACAAACCCCCACCCCACCCCCCAAAAAAAACAAAACATTACTTAAGGTCATACTGAGTTATGAGGAATTTAGTCACGTTTTGATCACGTTTGTAATGTTTTTGTCACAAATCCAGATCTCAAATGTATATAGTTTCTTTTCTTGTCCGTTTAATTTAGAGTATATTATAACTTAAACTTAGTTCCTGCTTCTACTGTCTTTGATAAACCGAAGCTTAATTTCTGGTGAATTCAATATGCACATTAGCGTCTCTGTTCTAAATAAGATGCACAAAACAGATAATACTAGTATACGTAAACAATGGGGTGATACTACTATTCCTGCATATTGTCAAAAGAGTTGTAATTGTATGTTCTATCAAAAGTACCTCACAATGTAAAATATTTCAGGTAAAAAATTGTTTTTTCTAAAGAATAAAAGTGACATACCGGATTGCGGGCGCTCCCGTCGACACCCTCAAGATATACTAGTATGTCAGAAAGAATGCCAGTACATGAGTACACTCAAGCTTGTCACCCTCGATCGCACAAATAAATGACCTAAAAGAACCTACTGTACAGGTGCTGGCCACAAGATGAGTCAAGTAAGGAGGTGTGGAATATTTTTGCTCGCAAAGGTACAAGCTAACTAAAGCGTATAGTGACTACTGAGATAATATAGCTATTAAGAACCGCATATGTGTTTGCATTTTCATGTTCAATACCAACGAAAACACAAACTGGCAACTGTGGACAATGTTGCCAAAGCTGTTGAGGTGTCATTGATCTGTTGTCTTTAACTATTGTTCAAATAGGAACAGGGGACAAAAGATCCCTACACTTTCCTGAGACAAACCTCAAGCCTGATCAATATTCACCACGTAAATACGAGACACGAATAAAGTGGAATTCCCGACGACCAAAACAACTACTCTCTACAAGCAAACTGTAATGCTTATCACATATAACGATACGTTGAAAACAGTTTACCCTACTCTCATTTTGAAAGTTTGAAAGGTCAACGTAATAACTTCCGGTGCGGCCAAGGACTCGGCGACCGTTGTAATTGATAAATTCTCGACAGAGAGTTGTGAAAGTTTCAACTTACCTAAATAATGTGATTTGTTTACAAGGAAAATAAATACAATGATATAAACTCCTATAAGCATCTCATGGACTCGTGTTACGTGCACATAAATATCTGCAATGCCTACCCTTTTAAGGGATACTTGTATCACATTCTGCAATTCTGTTCCAATTATTGCAAACTTTATCATAGTGTTGGAATTGATCCCGAGTTGTGTGCATGGTATAAGTATTGCACCGTCCCTTCCCTGCCTGTTGGCTCTATGAAGCTTTCGACAGTCTTTATTGAAGTTGGCATAGTCCTCATCAGTGATCTCCACGTCTGAGAACAGAGCATCGTTACTATAAATAATCCTCTCATAGTCATCCACATAGGAGGCGGGCGCGTTCCCTCCCTCCGGCTCAGGTCGTCTGCTTGACGAACGTCCGGACTTCGATTTGGAACTTTTCTCACTTTTGTCCTTAGTTGATTTGTCTTTGTCTTTATCCTTCTTCTTTTTAACCTTCTTGCTAGACTTCTTCTTTTTTGGCTTAGCACCGTCTGTTGTCAGTGGAATATCTGTAGATCCTTGTGAGAGATCCTGTGTGGAAATCTGAGACTCCTGCGAGAGCTCCACACAGCCACTATACTCCGGTTCGACTGAGAGTAAACTTTCTCCCATACTGACTGAACTTTGTGCGGAGTTTTCTGAAGTTTCGAGACGTTCAACTGTCTCTTCATTTGGATCCTAAAGTCAGATGTAGACACGTGTTGAGTTTACATAAACAGTAGGAACAGGGCACAACTTGTATAAGTTCGTCTACAACACAAGAGATGGCAACCACACGCTAAAAATAGCTATTCCGTCCAGAGGGGTGAAGCGCGGCTGCCTGCACAGCCGCTATTTCCCACTTCAATCTTGCCGCTTGGGCTTTACAAACATTCCTCGCGTTGCATTCCATTTATGGCTTCATGACGTCACGGTCGGGAATGAATCACCAGGCCCGTATCATAACGAGCTGCTTCGAACGAGGGTGTATCCCCGAACTATTGATATCACTGTTTCAACGAGCAGGAGGCGTGGCCACGCTGACATTAATATTAATACACAGTCTTCTTTCAATGGCAGACCATCCCGTATGACCTTTCCTGCCGGCGGTAAATATTTGACAAGTTTCCCACAACGAAAACAAGAGATGTTGTTCCACGGTACACTACTAAACTGACTGACTTGATGAAAAAGACAGTAATAGCTCGAGTTAAACACCAGATTCACAACAGGGCCATACGTCGTGTGACCATCAGACGCCAACTGCAAACAGGTTCTCAACACCCTAACCTGGACACATGGTCATAGACACATCGCAAGGGACAAAGGTCACTGAGGCGAATTAACTGGCGATAAGCCTACCCAAATTAGGACTTAAGATTATCTTATTTCAATACAAGGTTAATGTGTGTAACCTGATACTGAGCGGACAATTAGTAAGCCATTCGCATTTCACGTAATGCATACACTGGCGATTATGTCAGACAGCGAACCAATTACACAAGAAAGACAGAAGCCAAGAAAGTAGCCATGTGTAGAAAACGTTATTAATCACAATGGTACAATGTTACGCACAACATTCCGATACACAACATATAGTCTATGGCCTTTACCAGATCTACGTTCAGTTACTATTCAGAGAGACAAGGGACCGCTTCTCAAGAGAACGCTATGAACAGGGCCAGAACATGAGCGTCAGGCCTTCATACAGGTGATTGTTTTGTATGGTTATCTTACTTGGTGTTTATTCCATTTACATACTTGTATGCTGTTAATTCAGTTTACGGTATAATCAAGTATCACTTATTAATATATATAGGGCAACCACTGATACGGTGTTAAAAGCGTGCAACTGCAGCAACTTTGCCTTTCTGTAGCAACGCGTGTCATTGATGTCGCCGTGCAAGGTCACGTGATGACCACCCGGACACCTACCTCTGTAACTCTCTTCTCGGAAGTTTCCAACTTGGTCATGGCTTCCTGCAGTTGCTCGTTTACATTGTCGAAGTCGTTTTCCAAGTTTGCGCATTTCTTTTGCAGGTTGTTCAGATCTTCTTCAATCTGCAAAGGTAAGTCATACGTGAGTATACTTCGTCCAGATGTGCTTTGTAACCTTGTATATGATTGAAGACCTTTAAGATCATAATCGTATTAGTTTTCATTATCACAGCACAATTCTGTATGACGATCATGAAACAGTGTAAAGATCATGAACTTTAAGTATGGATGAGAATATATTATATGTCGATGTAAACCTTAAAAAGACATGCTATCCTGTCAGTTCGTTACTTTCATATGTTCGTGATTGCTAAAATCCATGCAAAATTGATTTCGTATTTTTGTATTGCTCTTGATGAACAAACATTTACAAACATAACATACAGAAGCACCCTAAACTAGTATATACTTCTTTTGTAATTTGTCTAATTCGTGCTGTTTGAAGGGGTGAGGATTATTATGACATGAGCAACAGCCAAATAAAGCATTAGCCGACAACAGGATCAGTGCTGGTACAGCGAAAATAGCAAACAGACAAGGATGCCCGGGTGGTGGATCAGGTTTCAAGATGGCCGACTCTATGAAGCGGATGTCTTCAGGGAAAGAAAGTAAAAGTTTGAGATTATACAGTAAACTTTGGAAAAGGAAAGGTTGTGTGAATGAGGGTTTTCTGGCACTGTATTTCAGGGTAGGAAGAAACACACTTTAAAATTTTGGGCAACTCTCATATTGTTACTTGTTCGAACGTGCCGAATGTGCATATTTTTCGATGGCGAAAAATGTACATTGTACAGAAACTTTGAGAGAGCACGATTACACGAGACGGGTCCACCCCATGCCGTTGAGAATGTGACTGGTCAGTTCATGCCAGATAGGCGTCTTACCTTGGCCTTCTGCTCTTCGGTATCCCTTAGTTTCTGCTCGTTCTGTTCGGCCCTGTCAACAGCATTTTCCTTCTCCATCTTCATGGCCAACATCTTCTTCTTGATGGCATCCATGGCTGTAGTTTGTGTTGTGGAGCGCTAACAAATACAAAAGTATAAAAGAAAGGGAATTCCAAGCAGAAGGGAATGATCGCAACTGCAGACGAGAGTGCCTCACCAACTGAACTGAGAGCGTCTGTGCTTGGACTTAGACTCCGAAAGAGAGATCTCAGAACTGTAGCGAGGTTTCTGGCGAATGGTTTGACAGTGGGCCAAAACAGGAGGAATGCACAAGATAGCCTATCAGAGGCTGTAGGGGCAATTATAGTACAAGCAGGGCCCTCCTGGCGGCATCCACGGCGATAGGGTTACTGCCTTGTTTGGCAAGACCTCGAATGGTGGATGTGTAGGCGATTCCATATGGTATTGCAGGGGTGAGGGGCATTCCTGCAACTTAGCAACTTTCACCTAACTGGTACTGCTTACTCTGGAAACTTTACTGGCCAAATAATTCCTGATAAAAGACTGAGAAAAACCTGATTCTATATTCCTAACATTTTAGGGTTATTTTTAGGGTTATGTGTTCATACACTTTAATACAAAAACGTTTCATGGAACATCTGAGGCCGATATCCGCCATGTTTCGTAAACTGAAACCAGTAGGTAAGAGTATGCATGTGCGCTTAATCTCAACCAAAGGTGTTGTTGCCATGGTGACTGAAGTATGGCGCTGACATAGAAGGGTCGGTGTTATCTGCCGACATGACGCTTCAGTGTGACTGTATGGTTCTGCATGTGACGGCAGGGAGACACTGACACCACCATCACTTCCGCCATGCTGCCGGGGAAGCAGCTGTGTTAGGAGGTGGGGAAGGTGAAACATGATACCTGTCACCTACACTGTATACGGGATACTGCGTTACTGACATCACCTGGATTTGGTACCTTGCTGTTTGCCTTGCACCTGCATAAGCTGTCTTTGTGTCGGTGTGTTTGTTATCGTGGTTTACACATGCTCAACGAGTTATCTAACGATTTACACTTACCAGAAGCTGACGTAACGTGGTGTGAAAATGTCTTTTGTGCGAAGTGTGTATATACCCTGTCTGATTTATGGAGTATGACTATCCTCGGCAACAGAATATGGAAAATGCCACAGCGAAATAACAAGTTTACAGAGAACTGAAACGTGAACAGATCAAAATAAATTCTTCAGGAAGTGGAATTTTCTGTGTGACTGGATGAGACTGGCCCGGCTCCGGGTCTTAATCTGTCAGATATAACGGATAAACTCTGACATCTCACAAACAACCATGTCCTCAGAACTGGTATATTGAGACACATCACAATTCAGCATGTCATCAGAACTGGTATATTGAGACACATCACAATCCAGCATGTCATCAGAACTGGTATATTGAGACACATCACAATCCAGCATGTCATCAGAACTGGTATATTGAGACACATCACAATCCAGCATGTCATCAGAACTGGTATATTGAGACACATCACAATTCAGCATGTCATTAGAACTGGTATATTGAGACACATCACAATCCAGCATGTCATCAGAACTGGTATATTGAGACACATCACAATTCAGCATGTCATCAGAATTGGTATATTAATACACATCACAATTCAGCATGTCATTAGAACTGGTATACTGAGACACCTCACAATTCAGCATGTCATCAGAACTGGAATATTGAGACACATCACAATCCAGAATGTCATCAGAACTGGTATATTGAGACACATCACAATTCAGCATGTCATTAGAACTGGTATATTGAGACACCTCACAATCCAGAATGTCATCAGAACTGGTATATTGAGACACATTACAATCCAGCATGTCATCAGAACTGGTATATTGAGACACATCACAATTCAGCATGTCATCAGAATTGGTATATTAATACACATCACAATTCAGCATGTCATTAGAACTGGTATACTGAGACACCTCACAATTCAGCATGTCATCAGAACTGGAATATTGAGACACATCACAATCCAGAATGTCATCAGAACTGGTATATTGAGACACATCACAATTCAGCATGTCATTAGAACGGGTATACTGAGACACCTCACAATCCAGAATGTCATCAGAACTGGTATATTGAGACACATCACAATCCAGAATGTCATCAGAACTGGTATATTGAGACACATCACAATTCAGCATGTCATTAGAACTGGTATACTGAGACACATCACAATTCAGCATGTCATCAGAACTGGTATATTAGTACACATCACAATTCAGCATGTCATTAGAACTGGTATACTGAGACACCTCACAATTCAGCATGTCATCAGAACTGGAATATTGAGACACATCACAATCCAGAATGTCATCAGAACGGGTATATTGAGACACATCACAATTCAGCATGTCATTAGAACTGGAATGTTGAGACACCTTCACAATCCAGCATGTCATCAGAACTCCAGGGACCCGTTTCACAAAGCGATCGTAGCGCTATAAAGGTGATCATAACTCCCATACTTTAACATAGACTTACGACAGTCGTACCGCTACGATCGCTTTGTGAAACGGGGCCCAAGTAGTAAAGTTGGCTTGTGCGTAACACTGAATACCGGTATTGTTGTCTCAAGAATACAACTGAATGACAGTCAGCCACAGGCTACATATATATCTCGTAAAGCTGGCATAAGAAAGATACAGTTATATATTGGAAAAATACTGTACATCGGTATACTTGACCTGTCAATAACACTGTACATCGGTATACTTGACCTGTCAATAACACTGAATACTAGTCAACCACCGTCTGCATGCATCATACATGTAGTGTTGTCTTGAGAAAAGCACTGAATACCAGTAAGCAACCGTTTACAAACAACGTAGTATAGCTGT